TCTGTACCCGTCAAATGGTGTGCAGCGCCTTGACATGTTTGTAGGTTTCGAGGGGCACCGTTGGTATCTACCAGGGCCGGCGTTGATTGACTGAGTAGTTTATGCGATACAGTCAGTAGCCGTGGGCATTCTGACACCTTTTCCAGCGGTTAAGCAACATTTTGTGGATTGAGTACAGTAATTTACCCCTGCATAAATATCGTAATAAGTGTACACCGAGACGCAAGAGACTGAGTGGCCAGGACAGCACGGGTAAAATATCATAGTATATTGCGATAAAATCGAAATGCACCGCGTGGGCATGGGAATACATGGAGAGAAGAATGACAAAAGGTCGCGTCAAGATTCGTCAGCTTAGTGACAAAATCCTCCAAAAAGTGCGGTAAAGTGTGAAATACGTCTCCCGAATTATTGCTGTCGACTAGATAAAGTAGTACACGAAAAGCAATGTTCGCGATGGTCGTCGGGCAAAGTCCACGAAGAAGCGTGGTAAGACGTAAAACACATAGTTCTGGAAATCACAGATATCACACCGTTGGCCGCTGTGCACTATCGCATGGCTACAGTATGACTCGTGGGATCTCATAAGAGACAATTTCTGAAGCACATAGCTCGAGGCATGGTCCGTTACAGTGGCAATACAGTGTAGATGGTCGTGCTGTGGGCGATATCTGAGAGTCTACAAACGATAGTACTGTAGTTAAGTCCAGGCTTTCGGCTGTAATTTTGGGTGGAAAGAAGGCGAATTTCTAGCTGTCTCTCTTTCATACGGTGTCGTGCACTAGAACTTACCAGTTCACATTTGGGACTAATGACTGAGCTTAGTGGCAATGACGGTCCTCGAACAGCATGGCAAAGCCATCCTCTTCTCAAATAAACACACGGTGCTGTAAAGTACATAACGTTTATACTGGTTTCACAAACCAACTAATCTCAGCACTGTTCTAAATCCACCGCGAGCGGTCGCGTTCACATTGATACTGGGCGAGCTCTATCCATTCCGCCTCGGCTTGCTTGACCGTACGTTCGTAGTCCTTTAAGTGCTCTACAAGCTCATCCGCTCGCTTTAGCCACTCTGTATCAGCCAGATGAGACCAGTCGGTATCAGAGATTCCGTTTCCCGTGTTGTCAATCATAGTTGTGGGCCGCAGATAGTAATTGAGATACATCTCTTGCGAAACCGTATATATGTTAGATGTCAAGGCTAGTGCAGCCTCATAGCAGGGTCGAAAGAAATTCAGCTCTCGTTTCAACGCAGAGAGTTGTTTGATAAGGTCAATTTCTCTTTGCTCTTGTGACCAGAGTCGATACCGCTTGGTTGAATGAAGGGTTTCCTTCCTGACTTCAAGGGCACTAGTCGATCCTCCTAATCTGTGTATGTTCCTATCGAAGGACTGAATTGATGGAAGATTGCCTGGCATCTGCGCGATGCTCTTTCTCATCCGATGACTTGACTTGTGGGATAAAGGTTGCTGTCCCGTATGTATGTCGTCTGCAGAACGTCGTCGATCACGTAGAAGGCTGTATATGAAACCCACCCGGAAAATGAGCGTCGTTGCAAGTCACTCGGGTCCTAACAACGGGGGCTTTCTGCCGTCAGAATCAAGGGAATTCCCATCCAGAGTGGTGGTTGCAGTAAATTCATCCCCACAACTTTGAACGCCTGACAATCGAGACAAAGTTTGCTACTTTATGAGGGATGGCAAATCCCACACTAATGGTTCAAAGAAGCTATAAAGGAAACGTGTCTCGACGATCTAATCAAGCTTGTTCATATGCCGCTTTAGCTGATTGACCATGTCTCAACACCTTCCCCAACGACGAGTCCACTTCAGAGAACGACGCGGCGCTCTACGCGAACTGTATGATGACGAATACTCCGTGATGGCGCATTTCTCGAAGCACGTCGACATCTGTCGAACTTGCTTCATACCTACCCGAATGGAGAGAACTCCAGTATTGTGCCGAGAGGGTTATGACTTAAGCAAAGATGTCTGCCGTTATTTCCGGCTAAATAACGGAATGGTAGTCTCTAGTCTGCCTTCACGATCCCCACTGGAGATTGCAATACCTCGGAAATTTGCGGTCACCACGTACATCCTTCGTGAACAGCAACAAGGTTCGAAAACAGGGAGGAAACAGACGCGCTTGGAGGCAGAATACCGTCAAAGTCACGGGAAGTCTCCACGGATATCATCTAAGAATTCGACAGATGTTATAACTCTTTACGTTACGCTTCCTGCCTTGACAATCCCCCTGCATCTTCGGCGCGCAGATTTGCGAGACCTGTCGTCGACCTGACGCCCTTATTACAATATCCAACCACAGAGCTCCCTAAATCAGCGTCGCAGGTCCCAGGTATTGCAGAACGAGATAAGATTCTCTCAATTTAAGGACGGATCCCGTGGCCATCTACTCGGCTGTGTTGGACGGCATGTTCGTTCCTAACAGAGAATCAAGAGCGACACTAGCCGCTTGAGCAACCTGCATCATCATCGCACTTCCGTTTTCGCTCTCTTGAATTTTCTTCAATACTTCTTCTTGCTGGGCTTCAGATTGGTCGATCTTCTTTTGTAGCTCTTCTAGCTGACGGGCTAGATTTTGTATCTGACGAGCTAGCCTGGGGCAAGTTATCTGCATGCCGCTAGCTAACCTGCAAGCTTTTCAAACTCACCTCTTCTCAACTTCGTCAAGCCTCTCGTCGGTCGAGTTCCTCGCCCGCTGCGCAAAGTTCAAGAATTGTTTGACGAGAGGATGTCCGGGTTTTGAACCAGAGGGCAAGATAGGTGCGGAGGGGTTGAGTACTTGGGCAGCGGGTTTCCGAGGCTCCTTGCCTGTGCGACGATTGGGTTCCCAACCCCCCGGAGGCCAACCATGACTCACGTTGTTTGGGATCCTTCCATGAGAAAGATCCGCATTGTTTGTGATGCCCCCCGATGGCAAGGGTGGACTGACTGGCGGTTGTTCAAAATACAGAGAGTCATCAAAGAGAGAGTCGTCCATCATTTCAGGCGCGATTTGAGGATCGACAAACAGTAAACGTACAGCAGGACTGGTTGTTGCTGGTTCAAGTAGCCTTGCGTGAAGACACGGAACATCAAGGTGAAGTTGCTTTTTCAATGGTGAAACACGCTAGATAGCACACCCACTAGAAGTCGCGGCTTCACTCCCGTAGGAAGCGGAAGTTCAAGTGGAATCCGTAGTCCAGACGGATGTGCTTGCCGCTGCCCAGAAGAATGTGAAACACCTAGTTTACGGGTCATGACTCCACTTTGATACGTTCCCACAGAAGTCCATGGTGAAGATGAACATTAGAAGGAAACTCTCCCTTGTTGTCACATTGGAGTACTACGAAGCCACCTCGATATTGAAGTACGACAATCATATCGAAAGACATATAAACTCATGGCACGCAACAAGAATCGTTCAACTAAGAAGTCTCTACCTCGCCACAGCCAAACCACCACTGACGAAGAAAAAGCGGCGAAAGCACAATATGAGCAGGCAAGACGCCGACAATGGTGTGTGATAAAGAAGGCCAACCAGCTCAACGTACTTTGTAAAAAGAAGGTCTTTCTCCTCATCGTGGATGACCGTCACGCCGACTTTTTAAGTTCGGAGGGCATTTCTGAAGCATGGCCATATTCGTGGGAGAGACTGGTGAGAGATAACACATGAATGTGCCGAAATGCACTAAAAAATGTCTTAGATGTCTGACCCATCAATTCGACGTATCACATACGGGCAGAGGCCACGAGCTCGACGCTCCGGTGAGCATGACTCTCCGACCATGGAAAATGAAATTCCAGAGGCTGTCGAGCTTACGCCGTCGGCTTCGGAGGACCTACAACCGGTTCAGGGCTTTCTCAAAGCCCACGAGTTGAAGCAATTGATGGAGAGGTTTCATCACATAGGGCGCAGTCACACGGCCTTTTTGAGAGGAGTGCGCCGGGTTCTGTTTGGAAATGTGGGAGACGATAGTTGAAGATGTCGTATCAAATCACCTGGTTGATGGAATTTCATAGACAAACATAGGATGTGGTCGCTCCGAGCATTCGTGACTTGGGGCTGCGAGATATCCATTCTCTACCTACGAAATAGCTAAACCTATCCAGAAAACGGTTCCCCAGATAATCCTAGTTCTTGTGACGGTACTGGCAGTGCTATATACCGCCGGAGATTGCAACGTTGGGCCTGCCCATCGAAACGTTCCATTTTGTAGTGTTGCGGTAACACTCCCAGTAATGTTTTCGTGGCCAGCTCCTGTGCGGGGGACTGTTCCTTTACCGGTGTAATTCTGATACCTCGTTCCCGTACACGGCATCCCGCCACCTTTAGTAGTCGGCACAATAGGGCTTGTCCCTGGCAGAGGAGGGAAAGGCCAGTCAGTGAGTGAATGCATTGTCGTAATGTCACTACGTCCGTGTGGCGAAACGGTCGGAAGAACATATTTAGTGGAATAGGACGTAATCGTCGAGATGTGCAACTGGGTATTCGCATCCGACCCGAGCGACGTTGGGATCGAGCCTTCCGACCCTATGGTAGACGTCGAGGATGTATTTATTTGTCCCCATACTAGCCAAAAACTTCCTAATGAGATGGAACCGGATTGAGGGATTGATTGAGACCAACTGATAATGATTAGTTGCGGATTTGTGCTGCTGATGTCGACTTACACAGGCGGTTGTAAAAGCAACCACCACCGAAGCAAAGTAAGTGGCTGCATGTTGATCCTGGCCCGAAGAGCTTGCTTACGTTTGTGCTGATAGTCAGCAAGCATTTTATGTGCAATTTAAGTCCCTCGGTGGACCGTGGTTCAAATTGTTGGCTGAAAACAGTGGGAGCCGCAGCACTGAGCTTGAAACCAAAGTATTCTGAGGATGACAGCCTATAAGATTACAACTTCTCCACTGGCTCAACTCCCTTCCCATTCCTTCAAGTCTCTTAACAATGTCGGACAGAAGAGACTCTGCGAGCGGCGGGTCCGATGGGGAGACTGGCAAGAAGGGCGCAGAAGGCGGCCAGGCGGATACAACGAAAGAAGGATGGGGAAAAGGCAAGAAACCCCGACTAGGAACCGCAGATCCTACAAAGCCTAGAAGAAAGTTCAAACCCGAAGCGAGGAAAAGATTTGAAGAGAAGAAGGCAAAGCAAAACGCACTCAGGGAACAACTTAAGACCGATCGCGACGCGGAAGGAGTCGAACAAAGTCTCGAGGCCATTGACAGAGAAATCGAAATGATCGAAGCCGATGAAAAAAGCTACCTTCCAGATCCAGACACACCAATGCCGACAGTTGAGGGTGAAGCTGATCAAAAGGAAGAGGAAGATAACGACGAACAAGACCCTGAAGTGGTTCCTATACAAGGGGGGGAATCCTCTGAACTCTTCCCAGGCGCTCCGCGTGTTACCGTTGCCAAAATGTGTAAACACGGAGATGACGATGGTTCACCTACGTACCTAAATCGCTACGGGCCTCGTCGGTGTGGCTGGTTCGTGTTCAGCTCTACCCTAGTACTCCCGGAAGGCTCCACCGAGAAAGATCTGATCAATATCTCTGATAAGTTCAACCGTGTCTTAGATTATCCCCGCCCTCAGGGTAAGGCTAAACCCAGGATCGGTGATGTGGCAGGAAAATTAAATCTGGCTTTCGACTGCCGTGGTTTTGAAGATGATCCTCTGCAAGCGGTGGAGCTCTTAAACCCTCAGACGGTGAAGAAAACAAATTTGTACAAGACAGGGAGTGAGCGTAGGGCTCATAAGGCTGAGTTGGATAAGTACCCTTCCGTGAAGATTCAACTTGCATTCAATGGGGAATGGGGGAAACCATCTTGGGAGTTGAGTTCTGCGTTTAGGCAATTGTATCGAAAGAATCAGATCAGTGCTGAGGAGGAGATCTACCAATTCGCGCGCAAGAGAGCGTTGGCTTTCCTCAATTGGTACGAATCCAGCAAACCCCAAGAGTTTGAGAGCTATAAGCGATCGATGAGCCGAGACCCGACAGCAGAACCACTGCGCAAACAGCCAGACATCTCAGCGAGTCCCCCTCCATCTTCCGAGACCGCTCAGTCACGTAAGCCTGAAAAGAAACAGCTTCTTACACCTCCTCCGGACCAGGAAGGTGGAAAGGAAGCTGAGACGACACAGTCGCCTTCAAAAGCCAAACAGAAACTGAGTCCCGAGAAATTCAAGGAAATTGTCCTAAAGGCTTACCGACAGGCTGAAGGGATAAAGGGTGAAATGACTGATGAGCAAGAAGCAGAATGGGATATCTACTACGATGTCTATGCGCAGAAGCGGGGATACTGATGGGAATGTTTGGAATGGAGATGACTGAAAAAGGGCTTGATGAAAGGCTGCTAAATTGTTTATAGATATCAATTTCATAGGTCCTCAGATACAGAATACTACATCCGCGGGCGGAGTGTAAAATTATCATCTCGAGCACAACACCGTACTACCCTGCTGTACCTACCCTGCTGAAAGGTACTTACATATTTGGTGCTTTATGCGTGTACCTGGCCTCATTTTTTTGTTTCACATGCTTTTATGGCCATATCGGTCGTACAGTACTAAAGATCTTGTAAAATTCTAGAAAGGGTTTTAGTAACGCGAACAGTGCGTGTTTCGTTGTCATTTTAATGTCCAGGAACATGCTGACTCTTACTGCAGACTGCCTGCAAAGTCGCTGAATTGCAGACATGGTTTCTAGAGTAATAGTGTAACTGCAGTATACTGTGTACCTGAACCGAGTTCTGCGGTTGACTGTTTACCAATTCCTCTGAGCATCTTTGTAGGATGCCGAAGTTTTGGAATATTTCTAAACATTCTCTCGTCTCCGAATGTGACCATGTAAAAAAGGTGTTCTGGGGGAATTTTTGAGGTGATTTTACACATTTTATTTGGTTGAGCCTGCTTGAAGCTGATGCGAAATGAGTAGTCTGGCTGATCTTCGAGGGTTAACGTGATAAGCCAGCTGCGACATGAATTTTTCAATCCCCAGGAGCTGGTCGATCGTCTCCTTGGAAATTCTCTATGTTCTCAAGCGAGTCTGCACATCGCCATCCGTGGCGTGGTGCACCATTGACACCATAGCTAGAAAAGAGCTGTCTTACATAGAGCATCTCGAAGATTCGCGCACTGACTTTCGAACACGTCAACCAGCTCATGTAGAGCCTCATTTTTTTTGCCGTATACTAGCCAAGATGGTGGCTTACTTCCATAAATCCTGTTCCAAGGATTTGAGTCTTCCTGGTCCATCGCAACGGTTGAGTATCAAGAGAAGGTGCCGCTCCAGTTTGTGGTCATGGTGGCGGAGTAGACATCCACATTGATACGTGAGCTCCTGCAGATGCTCTTCCGTTGTATTTTGAGACTGTTCGAAGGCCAAGGCGTCTTTGACTCTTTCCATGTGCTGCGAGTCGTGAATCACTGACTTTAGTGCACGAGAGCGGGCTAGGCTGACTTAAGGCGCCACTCGTATAGTCTTTACTGTAGCATTGCAAGATGATTGAAGCAGAACGAAGCCGACGAAGGTCTGACATCGTCATGTGTTAAAGTATAGACTTCTCGGTGGTCGGACGATTGTGCTGATTGCTAGCGTCAACCTCCTCAAAAACCTGTGGCCAGGTGCAACAGGCGGGCATATTTCGGCCACCGCTCACTGCCACACCACGCCAACTTTCTGCTCCGTTGTGGGCGCTTCCAGCGCGAACGATTCCCACAAAACTTTGGGGCCAAAAATACAACAGTCATTAGTCCTGGATTGCCTCGCCAATTTTATCATCGACTATCCGCGGTGACGAGGTACTGTCATGTCTTTGAGCTACCCCACACATACAGTAACAACTGTCTCGACCATCATGAGGCTCGCAGCGCCTCGATCCACCAGGGCGCTTCGCCAACTGGTGCCATGTTCAAAGCCGTGGATAAAATGTCGTGGATGAAGCGACATTATGATTAAGCCATGGCAGCTCTCCCGCACGTACCACAGTATCCGAACGAAATGGGTTTGGGAAACACGACGTCTACTCTGATTATCGTCGGCATAGTCTTTACAATTCT